TGTGATCGAGTTGGTTTTGTTATACAATACAACTGTTTGATCGAGTTGGTTTTGTACAATACAGCTGTTTGATCGAGTTGGTTTTGTACAATACAGCGCTGTGTTCGAGTTGGTTTTACTGTACAATACAGCGGTGTGATCGAGTTGGTTTTGTTATACAATACAACTGTTTGATCGAGTTGGTTTTGTACAATACAGCTGTTTGATCGAGTTGGTTTTGTACAATACAGCGGTGTTATTGAGTTCGATATGTTGTATAAGACAGCATTTTTTGTTTTGTACACTATGCGATAGTTATATCTTAAACTGAAGAAGCATTATATTTTACTAATTTCTATATTTTGTATTTTCTATGCATGTTGCAACTAAGATATAATTAAAATACTTGGAAAACAAGTTACCCTAAAGGTACAGATAGAACCTTTTGGTCACAATACTAGAAAATGTGGGTAAAATTTAGAATGTAATGAAATAATATAAGTAAAGTTAAGAAAGTAATTCAAATTTAGTAAAACAAACAAATACTGAAATTTCGGTATACTATAAAAGATATACTAACTAACTAACAGACAGATAGACGTAATAGGTTGTTGATTTCATCAAATGTTACTATTAACATTTATTGTTAAACAAGATGTTTTGTTCAAACTAATACGTGTATAATTGTATTTCATGAGAAACACTGTTATTGTGATATTGTAATTTTATTCTGTCTATATTCATCGCTGTGATACTGTTATTCTATTCTGTCTGTAATCGTGGCAGTAATACTGTAATTCTACTTTGTCTGTAATCATTGCTGTGATACTGTAATTCTACTTTGTCTGTAATCGTGGCAGTAATACTGTAATTCTATTCTATCTGTAGTCGTTGTTGTGACACAGTAATTGTAATCTGTCTATATTCATCGCTGTGATACTGTAATTCTATTCTATCTGTAGTCGTTGTTGTGACACAGTAATTGTATTCTGTCTGTAATCGTGGCAGTAATACTGTAATTCTACTTTGTCTGTAATCATTGCTGTGATACTGTAATTCTACTTTGTCTGTAATCGTGGCAGTAATACTGTAATTCTATTCTATCTGTAGTCGTTGTTGTGACACAGTAATTGTAATCTGTCTATATCGTTTTTTTCATAAACATGCACCAAGTAGATTGCTAGAAGTTTTATAAAAATAAGTTCAGTTAAAATATTGGCATCAAGCTAAAAATATGTGTCAATTTTGTTACTTTATGGCATTTAGTATTCAGACATTGTGACAAACCGTATAGGCCACTTTTATGTCACAACATAGCATATAATTTTGAATAATTTAACATCAGTTGTAACTTAAAAATCAACTTTATTTAAATGTCAAAGTTATCGGCCACAGTTTTTCTTCTTTCAATACCTACTGACGAATTTTGTAATTTTACCTAAACTGCGACATGTTAAAAATTCATTATAAAAGTAGAATAGAATCATAGATGAATTTATATACACCTTTTTGGTATTTTGTTTGTAATGACAGAGAATTAAGCAAAAGAACCGTATACAGATTGTTAAATCACTAATATTACTTATATAGCCAAAATAATTCACTATTTAAAACTCAAGAATCTCGTTTGTTCGAAACACATATACCTGGAGAGGATGACACTTGATAACTGTGCTTTCAATGGGAAAAAATAATTTCCGATATAAATAATTCAATAAATGCAAAAAAAAAACTATACCAAAAAAAATTCGCGGTGGTAAAAATCATCCCCAAAATTCAACAATTCAAGAATACGATTTGTTACGGTGTGTCAAATATCACTAACAAGTTTTACATAGGTTAGCAATCTAAAACATACATACATTATGTACAAAAGACTTTGATCGAAAACACCTCATTAACTCCTAATCCGTAAAATATCAGCTATAAAAAAACAAACACAAAAGAGCAACGTTTTAACCTACCTTCTTTCGCGGGATAAGTTGCTGAGATTTCTGCAGTAATGTCCGCACATGCTCAGTCTGCATTTTTGGCGAGTAGTTGATTACTGAGTTTATTAATTTTATATTATCACGTGCTTAGTTTGTATCAAAATAAGAGACGCAGGCTCTAGATATTTTATTCATACTTCGACTTTATCGATAGACTTTAGTGCTAACTACTTATGGCTAGATCTGGAGAAAACCTCCAATTTTCTCTCTGTCGCCCCTTAACCCTAAAAATAAACTAGCACGGTGAGACCCAGTAGTTTATTGGATGCCTAATTAAAATGAAATCTTGTTGAGACAAAAAATTAGTTTTCATTCTGTTTGAGCTTCGCACAAGTTTCTGGTGTAACTGTATACAAACTGTGTCACCTGATTCATCTCTCAGACGTGCTAACTAGTCGGAGAATGGTGCAAAAATGTATATTCCTGTTTGTTCCACAGCCGACGATTACTAAAGTTGAGTGTGAACGTATATTTGTGTTAGGATTAATGAAAGGAAGCACAGGATATGTGGCGTCTAACTTGACACCTAACATCTACTGCGAATTTCTACTGAAAAAACAGTCGCCGTTTTTGTCAATAACTTTGCCATCCTTCGCCACGAACGAAGGATAAAGAGGCAATTATGATCTCTTTTATTGCAGTCGTCGTCATTGTCCCTGGAGTTTTATGGCTGGTACATTTATTGTGTTAGAAGAGAATAATTGCACTACGAGCTCACAAACTCAGTCCCTAAATTGATAGTCGGTATACAAATTATCACTATGGGTTATATACAACTGTTGATTCCTCAAGTGTATCATATCTGCGGCAATCTTGGCTTTTCTCAGAAACTTTGTATTAGGTAAGCAATATAAGTATCAAGAACATCTCTGTATATAATATATAGCATTTGCTTTAAAACGGTTTATTGGCACTTAGACATACACAGTGGAAACATCTTGACGTTTCTTATGTTGAATAAGCTAAAAAAGTAATTCATGTTTTATACCTTATATTTTTGATGTACAAACATTTTTAAAATGTTAGTTACCTATACAAACATAGGAGAGCGCAGTTTAACAAAAAATCCTATACATGCTTTCTGTTTACTTCCTTTTGTGAATCTCAATGCTATTACCGTATTTTTCGGAATATAAGACGCACCCTTATTTTGAGGACAAAGTTTTGGGGAAAAAAAGCTACAGTCGCATTTGAAAGATTTTTATTGAACAAAAATTCAATTTTAATACTTTAACCATTAATATATATATTGTTCTAAACACAAAAGACCTTAAAACATCAAAATAAGAAAATACCGTAAATTAAAAAAAGGTTCACTGTTACTTAGTTTGGTTCAAAACTTACAAACTCTTCATGCTTTCACTGTAATTTATTTTTTATTATTTAGGGAGCATTATAAATAGTTATGTTTGAAAATAAAAAAACCA